TAGTAGGTATATAAAAAGACGCGCCTATTCGAATGCAACGTTGTGTCAAAATTTCAAAGAAATCGGTAAAGAGGTTTCGAAGATTTCTCTCACATGAAAAACAGTTTAAAAAAAAAACGTTTTTTTTCCCGTCACAGACGTGACATCAATATGGTATGTATATAAAAACCTGTTGTTGTTGTTGTTAAAGATTCGCTACCTGGAACAAAAAGTTCCAAGTAACACGGGCTATGGTGAGCCCGTAGTGCTTGTAGTGCTTATATATATATATATATATATATATATATATATATATATATATATATATATATATATATATATATATATATATATATATATATATAAACCCGCTCGGATGCGAATGGATGATTGTGTAAAAATTTCAAAGCAATCGGTGAAGAACTTTTGGAGATTAGCGATTTTGAACAAACGAACATTTCCATTTTTATTTATACAGATTATTATTATTATTATTATTATTATTATTATTATTATTATTATTATTATAGTTTGTGTATCGGTGAGTGTGTACTCACCTAGTTGTGCTTTCGGGGGTTGAGCTCTGGCTCTTTGGGTCCGCCTATCAACTGTCAATCATCATCCAACTGATGTCCCCCCCTCCCACCACACACACACGGGAAGCAGCCCGTAGCAGCTGTCTAACTCCCAGGTACCTATTTACAGCTAGGTGAACAGGAGCATCAGGGTAAAATAAACTCTGCCCATTTGTTTCCTCCGCCGGGGATCGAACCCGGACCCTTAGGACTACGAATCCCAATCTCTGTTCATTTAGCCATCAGGCCCCTCATGTCTGCCTGTTTGTGTGTGCGCGCGCGCGTTTCTGTGCGAGTGCGCGCACTGCGTTTCAGAGTCTAGTTAGTTACCCGAGGAAGACCTCGTCTTGATACACTGAGCTATGATGTCGTGTGGAAGGTAAGTGTCCATTGAGAGGTGAACCTGTCAGTCACCTTCGACCCGCGAGGCTGGCCCACCTGCCTCCTCCCACACCCACCCCTGGCCCACCTGCCTCCTCCCACACCCACCCCTGGCCCCCTGCCTGCTCCCACACCCACCCCTGGTCCACCTGCCTGCTCCCACACCCACCCCTGGTCCACCTGCCTGCTCCCACACCCAGCCCTGGCCCCCTGCCTGCTCCCACACCCACCCCTGGTCCACCTGCCTGCTCCCACACCCACCCCTGGCCCACCTGCCTGCTCCCACACCCAGCCCTGGCCCCCTGCCTGCTCCCACACCCACCCCTGGCCCACCTGCCTGCTCCCTCACCCACCCCTGGCCCCCCTGCCTGCTCCCACACCCACCCCTGGCAGCCCCCCCACACCCACCCCTGGCCCACTTGTCTGCTCCCACACCCACCCCTGGCCCACCTGCCTGCTCCCACACCCACCCCTGGCCCCCCTGTCTGCTCCCACACCCACCCCTGGCCCACCTGTCTGCTCCCACACCCACCCCTGGCAGCCCCCCCACACCCACCCCTGGCCCCCCTGCCTGCTCCCACACCCACCCCTGGCCCCCCTGCCTGCTCCCACACCCACCCCTAGCTTACCTGTCTGCTCCCACACCCACCCCTGGCAGCCCCCCCAAACCCACCCCTGGCCCTCCTGCCTGCTCCCACACCCACCCCTGGCAGCCCCCCCACACCCACCCCTGGCCCCCCTGCCTGCTCCCACACCCACCCCTAGCCCACCTGTCTGCTCCCACACACACCCCTGGCCCCCCTACCTGCTCCCACACCCACCCCTGGCCCACCTGTCTGCTCCCACACCCACCCCTGGCCCACCTGTCTGCTCCCACACCCACCCCTGGCCCCCCTGCCTGCTCCCACACCCACCCCTGGCCCCCTGCCTGCTCCCACACCCACCCTGGCCCCCCTGTCTGCTCCCACACCCACCCCTGGCCCCCCTGTCTGCTCCCACACCCACCCCTGGCCCCCCTGTCTGCTCCCACACCCACCCCTGGCCCCCCTGTCTGCTCCCACACCCACCCCTGGCCCCCCTGCCTGCTCCCACACCCACCCCTGGCCCCCCTGCCTGCTCCCACACCCAGCCCTGGCCCACCTGCCTGCTCCCACACCCAGCCCTGGCCCACCTGCCTGCTCCCACACCCAGCCCTGGCCCACCTGCCTGCTCCCACACCCAGCCCTGGCCCACCTGCCTGCTCCCACACCCAGCCCTGGCCCACCTGCCTGCTCCCACACCCAGCCCTGGCCCACCTGCCTGCTCCCACACCCAGCCCTGGCCCACCTGCCTGCTCCCACACCCAGCCCTGGCCCACCTGCCTGCTCCCACACCCAGCCCTGGCCCACCTGCCTGCTCCCACACCAAGCCCTGGCCCACCTGCCTGCTCCCACACCCAGCCCTGGCCCACCTGCCTGCTCCCACACCCAGCCCTGGCCCACCTGCCTGCTCCCACACCGAGCCCTGGCCCACCTGTCTGCTCCCACACCAAGCCCTGGCCCACCTGCCTGCTCCCACACCCAGCCCTGGCCCACCTGCCTGCTCCCACACCCAGCCCTGGCCCACCTGCCTGCTCCCACACCCAGCCCTGGCCCACCTGCCTGCTCCCACACCCAGCCCTGGCCCACCTGCCTGCTCCCACACCCAGTCCTGGTCCACCTGCCTGCTCCCACACCCACCCCTGGCCCACCTGTCTGCTCCCATACCTCCCACGCCCTGGCCCACCTGCCTGCTGCCACACCCAGCCCTGGTCCATCTGCCTGCTGCCACACCCAGCCCTGGTCCACCTGCCTGCTCCCACACCCACCCCTGGCCCACCTGCCTGCTCCCACACCCAGCCCTGGCCCACCTGCCTGCTCCCACACCCAGCCCTGGCCCACCTGCCTGCTCCCACACCCAGCCCTGGTCCACCTGCCTGCTCCCACACCCAGCCCTGGCCCACCTGCCTGCTCCCACACCCAGCCCTGGCCCACCTGCCTGCTCCCACACCCAGCCCTGGCCCACCTGCCTGCTCCCACACCCAGTCCTGGCCCACCTGCCTGCTCCCACACCCAGTCCTGGCCCACCTGCCTGCTCCCACACCCAGTCCTGGCCCACCTGCCTGCTCCCACACCCAGTCCTGGCCCACCTGCCTGCTCCCACACCCAGCCCTGGCCCACCTGCCTGCTCCCACACCCAGCCCTGGCCCACCTGCCTGCTCCCACACCCAGCCTGGCCCACCTGCCTGCTCCCACACCCAGCCCTGGCCCACCTGCCTACTCCCACACCCAGTCCTGGCCCACCTGCCTGCTCCCACACCCAGTCCTGGCCCACCTGTCTGCTCCCACACCCAGCCCTGGCCCACCTGTCTGCTCCCATACCTCCCACGCCCTGGCCCACCTGTCTGCTCCCACACCCAGCTCTGGTTCACCTGCCTGCTCCCACACCCAGTCCTGGCCCACCTGTCTGCTCCCACACCCAGTCCTGGCCCACCTGTCTGCTCCCACACCCACCCCTGGCCCACCTGTCTGCTCCCATACCTCCCACACCCCAGCCCTGGCCCACCTGTCTGCTCCCATACCTCCCACACCCCACCCCTGGCCCACCTGTCTGCTCCCATACCTCCCACACCCAGCCCTGGCCCACCTGTCTGCTCCCATACCTCCCACGCCCTGGCCCACCTGTCTGCTCCCACACCCAGCCCTGGTCCACCTGCCTGCTCCCACACCCAGTCCTGGCCCACCTGTCTGCTCCCACACCCAGTCCTGGCCCACCTGTCTGCTCCCACACCCACCCCTGGCCCACCTGTCTGCTCCCATACCTCCCACACCCCAGCCCTGGCCCACCTGTCTGCTCCCATACCTCCCACACCCCACCCCTGGCCCACCTGTCTGCTCCCATACCTCCCACACCCAGCCCTGGCCCACCTGTTTGTTCCCACACCCACCCCTGGCCCACGTGGCAGGGGGAACACTGCCTGCCGGGTTTACCTCGTGGTTTAAGACCTCGTGAAGAAGGAAGAGTCTGGGGATCAATCAGCCATTTACACAATCACGCACGAAACCGATTCATCTTTCCTTAACTGCTTTGTTTACATTCATTAAACAGTGTACCTGCCTGTAAACTCCACAACCCAAGTTATTATTGTTTTCAACAACCTCGGAGTGTTTCGGAGCTCGTAAACTGTTTACTAAATGTAAACAAAGCCGCCGTATGCAGTGAATGCAATGTTGGATTCTTGGCAACGTTGGAACTACCCGTTTAAATAATCGTTGGCAACGTTGGAACGACCAGTTTAAACACATGTTACGTTTCTTTATAAACCAGTTTCTGGCACTAAGTTGTTGCAACTTAGTAGAACATAGCGATGCTGCTTTAAGTTCTCACACCCAGTGTTACTTTGCCTTGTCCTTAAGTGTTGTGGAAATGTCGAATCTTTTCCACCAAGTGATGTGGAAATGTCGAATCTTTTCCATTAAGTGATGTGGAAATGTCGAATCTTTTCCATTAAGTGATGTGGAAATGTCGAATCTTTTCCACCAAGTGTTGTGGAAATGTCGAATCTTTTCCACCAAGTGTTGTGGAAATGTCGAATCTTTTCCATTAAGTGATGTGGAAATGTCGAATCTTTTCCATTAAGTGCTGTGTAAATGTCGAATCTTTTCCATTAAGTGCTGTGTAAATGTCGAATCTTTTCCATTAAGTGATGTGGAAATGTCGAATCTTTTCCATTAAGTGCTGTGTAAATGTCGAATCTTTTCCATTAAGTGCTGTGTAAATGTCGAATCTTTTCCATTAAGTGATGTGTAAATGTCGAATCTTTTCCATTAAGTGCTGTGTAAATGTCGAATCTTTTCCATTAAGTGATGTGGAAATGTTGAATCACTTACGTCGTGTGATATTGTTATGCTACTTTGTAAGTTTGTAATGCTACTTAGTTTGTTACTCTGGTATTGTTGTTTTGGTTTGGGAATTCGTGTGACGATACTACTCTGCTTTCTTTACTGCACTCACTGCTACTTTACTCTGCTTTTTACAGTAGCTTACTTTTTTCTGCAGAACTGACACTGTTACTTTACCTTCTTTGTTGCACTCTGTTACTTTACCTTCTTTGTTGCACTCTATTACTTTACCTTCTTTGTTGCACTCTGTTACTTTACCTTCTTTGTTGCACTCTATTACTTTACCTTCTTTGTTGCACAGTGTTACTTTACTTGCCTTGCTCCGCTGATAGTGGCACTAACAGTAGCCATTTATCACAATGGACTATTATGTCACTATATCATTTATCACAGTGGACTATTATGTCACTATACCATTTATCACAGTGGACTATTATGTCACTATATCATTTATCACAGTGGACTATTATGTCACTATATCATTTATCACAGTGGACTATTATGTCACTATATCATTTATCACAGTGGACTATTATGTCACTATACCATTTATCACAGTGGACTATTATGTCACTATACCATTTATCACAGTGGACTATTATGTCACTATACCATTTATCACAGTGGACTATTATGTCACTATACCATTTATCACAGTGGACTATTATGTCACTATACCATTTATCACAATGGACTATTATGTCACTATACCATTTATCACAGTGGACTATTATGTCATTATACCATTTATCACAGTGGACTATTATGTCACTATACCATTTATCACAGTGGACTATTATGTCACTATACCATTTATCACAGTGGACTATTATGTCACTATACCATTTATCACAGTGGACTATTATGTCACTATACCATTTATCACAGTGGACTATATGTCACTATACCATTTATCACAGTGGACTATTATGTCACTATACCATTTATCACAGTGGACTATTATGTCACTATACCATTTATCACAGTGGACTATTATGTCACTATACCATTTATCACAGTGGACTATTATGTCACTATACCATTTATCACAGTGGACTATTATGTCACTATACCATTTATTGCTACAGTCATTTGGTTGGTCAGCTTCTTGCTGTTTTTGTGGCCGAGTTGTGTTGTGATTTTTCCTGTGAGTTGTGGGACGAGTGTTGTGAGGCGGTTGTGTGTTAACTTTGTAGGTTCATGTGATTGTGATACTTCTTATGATAATTCATCATGTATGTGACAACAGTGATTCATGGCGGGTGAGTGACAGAACTATAATTCATGGCGGGTGAGTGACAGAACTATAATTCATGGCGGGTGAGTAACGGGATTTCACTATAATCTTCCAACATGGTTACTTTGTCACTGTTCGTAACAGTGACGTATTGTATTATTTTGTTACGAGGTTATCTTGTTATCTTGATAAGATATCTTGGTTATTTTTAGATGATTTTGGGGCTTAGTGTCCCCGCGGCCCGGTCTTCGACCAGGCCTCCTTTTTGTTTCACACCCCCAGGAAGCAGCCCGTAACAACTGTCCCAGGTACCTATTTACTGCTAGGTGAACAGGCATATCAGGGTGAAAGAAACCCAGTCCATTTGTCTCAGCGTCCACCGGGGATCGAACCCGGCCCCGAGCGCTGTCCACTCAGCTGTCAGACCCTGACTCACCAGTGTGAGGGTATGTTGTGGGTATGTTGGGTGTTCCTTGTGGGTATGTTGGGTGTTCCTTGTGGGTATGTTGGGTGTTCCTTGTGGGTATGTTGGGTGTTCCTTGTGGGTATGTTGGGTGTTCCTTGTGGGTATGTTGGGTGTTCCTTGTGGGTATGTTGGGTGTTCCTTGTGGGCATGTTGACTGTTCCTTGTGGGTATGTTGGGTGTTCCTTGTGGGTATGTTGGCTGTTCCTTGTGGGCATGTTGAGTGTTCCTTGTGGGTATGTTGACTGGTCCTTGTGGGCATGTTGGGTGTTCCTTGAGGGTATGTTGGGTGTTCCTTGAGGGTATGTTGGGTGTTCCTTGAGGGTATGTTGGGTGTTCCTTGAAGGTATGTTGGGTGTTCCTTGAGGGTATGTTGGGTGTTCCTTGTGGGTATGTTGGGTGTTCCTTGTGGGTATGTTGGGTGTTCCTTGTGGGTATGTTGGGTGTTCCTTGTTTGTATGTTGGGTGCTCCTTGTGGGTATGTTGGGTGCTCCTTGTTTGTATGTTGGGTGCTCCTTGTGGGTATGTTGGGTGCTCCTTGTTTGTATGTTGGGTGCTCCTTGTTTGTATGTTGGGTGCTCCTTGTTTGTATGTTGGGTGCTCCTTGTTTGTATGTTGGGTGCTCCTTGTGGGTATGTTGGGTGCTCCTTGTGGGTATGTTGGGTGTTCCTTGTGGGTATGTTGGGTGTTCCTTGTGGGTATGTTGGGTGTTCCTTGTGGGTATGTTGGGTGTTCCTTGTGGGTATGTTGGGTGTTCCTTGTGGGTATGTTGGGTGTTCCTTGTGGGCATGTTGACTGTTCCTTGTGGGCATGTTGACTGTTCCTTGTGGGCATGTTGAGTGTTCCTTGTGGGCATGTTGACTGTTCCTTGTGGGCATGTTGACTGTTCCTTGTGGGCATGTTGACTGTTCCTTGTGGGCATGTTGACTGTTCCTTGTGGGCATGTTGACTGTTCCTTGTGGGCATGTTGACTGTTCCTTGTGGGCATGTTGACTGTTCCTTGTGGGCATGTTGACTGTTCCTTGTGGGCATGTTGACTGTTCCTTGTGGGCATGTTGACTGTTCCTTGTGGGCATGTTGAGTGTTCCTTGTGGGCATGTGGCGTGTTCCTTGTGGGTATGTTGGGTGTTCCTTGTGGGTATGTTGGGTGTTCCCTGTGGGCATGTGGCGTGTTCCCTGTGGGCATGTTGCGTGTTCCTTGTGGGTATGTTGCGTGTTCCTTGTGGGTATGTTGCGTGTTCCTTGTGGGTATGTTGCGTGTTCCTTGTGGGTATGTTGAGTGTTCCTTGTGGGCATGTTGACTGTTCCTTGTGGGCATGTTGACTGTTCCTTGTGGGCATGTTGAGTGTTCCTTGTGGGTATGTTGAGTGTTCCTTGTGGGCATGTTGAGTGTTCCTTGTGGGCATGTTGAGTGTTCCTTGTGGGCATGTTGAGTGTTCCTTGTGGGCATGTTGCGTGTTCCCTGTGGGCATGTTGAGTGTTCCTTGTGGGCATGTTGAGTGTTCCTTGTGGGTATGTGGCGTGTTCCTTGTGGGTATGTTGAGTGTTCCTTGTGGGTATGTTGAGTGTTCCTTGTGGGTATGTTGAGTGTTCCTTGTGGGTATGTTGCGTGTTCCTTGTGGGTATGTTGCGTGTTCCTTGTGGGTATGTTGCGTGTTCCTTGTGGGTATGTTGCGTGTTCCTTGTGGGCATGTTGCGTGTTCCTTGTGGGCATGTTGCGTGTTCCTTGTGGGCATGTTGCGTGTTCCTTGTGGGCATGTTGCGTGTTCCCTGTAGGCATGTTGCGTGTTCCCTGTGGGCATGTTGAGTGTTCCTTGTGGGTATGTTGCGTGTTCCTTGTGGGTATGTTGCGTGTTCCTTGTGGGTATGTTGCGTGTTCCTTGTGGGTATGTTGCGTGTTCCTTGTGGGCATGTTGCGTGTTCCTTGTGGGCATGTTGGGTGTTCCTTGTGGGCATGTTGAGTGTTCCTTGTGGGTATGTGGCGTGTTCCTTGTGGGCATGTTGAGTGTTCCTTGTGGGTATGTGGCGTGTTCCTTGTGGGTATGTTGCGTGTTCCTTGTGGGTATGTGGCGTGTTCCTTGTGGGTATGTTGCGTGTTCCTTGTGGGTATGTTGCGTGTTCCTTGTGGGTATGTTGCGTGTTCCTTGTGGGTATGTTGCGTGTTCCTTGTGGGCATGTTGCGTGTTCCTTGTGGGCATGTTGCGTGTTCCTTGTGGGCATGTTGCGTGTTCCTTGTGGGCATGTTGCGTGTTCCTTGTGGGTATGTTGGGTGTTCCAACTGGAACATGCAACATACCCACAAGGACGTGTCCCAACACAACCCGTCCTCGACTCGAGTCCATTACATCCAGCGGTCGACCCCACAGACGCATTCATAAACTTTTACATGCTGTTCATTCAAAACGGGAATTTTCTCAAATATAAATTAATATTATAATATATTAGCATATTGTGTATATATAGGCATAAGATAGGTTAAGTTAGGTGTTTAGGTTCTGTTGGCGATTATTTGTATTTGTAGTACTTGGGTGAAGCATTTATAGCGTTGTGATTCGAACAAAATTCGTCAGTGAAGTACTTGTTCCGGATATGTTCGAACGTCAGCATTTGAGTCGTGTGTAAACCGTTTTTCATTCATAAACAGGGGGTTTGGCGGGTGCATGGAATCACTTTTGGATCTTTGTTTGGAGGACGGGCTGCCCAACATGTCCTCATAGGTGTCGTCGCACGCTTCGTCTGCCTCTTGTTTCCAAGTTGTGCGAGACAACGACACTTGTTGAGACAACGACCACTGGGACGAGACACTTCACACGGTTGTATACAGTTTTCGAATTTACGTTTCTTCAGGAGTAACTTTTTGTTTAAGAGTTTATTAAAGTCTTTGATTCTTTGCATTTTGGAAAGTGAAGGGGAAAAGAATACGATTTTTTCTTTCAAATCAATGTTTACATTTATTTAAATTGTGTTGATGTTTTTCTTATTGATTGTCATAATTAATGTGCATGATAATTTGTGCTGACTTTAGTTAATGTGGGCGAACTTGGCATGACTGTATTCACCTAGTTGTGCTTGCGGGGGTTGAGCTCTGCTCTTTCAGCCCGCCTCTCAACTGTTACTAATTACTAAAACAATTTTTTACACACACACACACACTCACTCACCCACCCCAGGAAGCAGCCCGTAACAGCTGTTTAACTCTCAGGTACTTATTTACTGCTAGGTAACAGGGGCATCAGGGTGAAAGAACTGCCCATTTAGTTTCTGCCATCACCGGGGATAGAACCCGGACCCTAGGATTAAGAGTCTAGAGCGCTGTCCATTCAGCTGGTCATGTTGGTCTGTGTGACTGTCCTCGGTGTGACAGTCCTCGGTGTGACTGTCCACGGTGTGACTGTCCTCGGTGTGACTGTCCTCGGTGTGACTGTCCTCGGTGTGACTGTCCACGGTGTGACTGTCCTCGGTGTGACTGTCCACGGTGTGACTGTCCACGGTGTGACTGTCCACGGTGTGACTGTCCTCGGTGTGACTGTCCTCGGTGTGACTGTCCTCGGTGTGACTGTCCACGGTGTGACTGTCCTCGGTGTGACTGTCCTCGGTGTGACTGTCCACGGTGTGACTGTCCACGGTGTGACTGTCCTCGGTGTGACTGTCCTCGGTGTGACTGTCCTCGGTGTGACTGTCCTCGGTGTGACTGTCCACGGTGTGACTGTCCACGGTGTGACTGTCCACGGTGTGACTGTCCTCGGTGTGACTGTCCTCGGTGTGACTGTCCTCGGTGTGACTGTCCACGGTGTGACTGTCCACGGTGTGACTGTCCACGGTGTGACTGTCCTCGGTGTGACTGTCCACGGTGTGACTGTCCTCGGTGTGACTGTCCTCGGTGTGACTGTCCACGGTGTGACTGTCCACGGTGTGACTGTCCTCGGTGTGGCTGTCCTCGGTGTGACTGTCCTCGGTGTGGCTGTCCTCGGTGTGACTGTCCTCGGTGTGACTGTCCACGGTGTGACTGTCCTCGGTGTGGCTGTCCTCGGTGTGACTGTCCTCGGTGTGACTGTCCACGGTGTGGCTGTCCTCGGTGTGGCTGTCCACGGTGTGACTGTCCACGGTGTGACTGTCCTCGGTGTGACTGTCCACGGTGTGGCTGTCCTCGGTGTGACTGTCCACGGTGTGACTGTCCTCCGTGTGACTGTCCACGGTGTGACTGTCCTCGGTGTGACTGTCCTCGGTGTGACTGTCCTCGGTGTGACTGTCCTCGGTGTGACTGTCCTCGGTGTGACTGTCCTCGGTGTGACTGTCCTCGGTGTGACTGTCCTCGGTGTGACTGTCCTCGGTGTGACTGTCCTCGGTGTGACTGTCCTCGGTGTGACTGTCCACGGTGTGACTGTCCACGGTGTGACTGTCCACGGTGTGACTGTCCACGGTGTGACTGTCCACGGTGTGACTGTCCTCGGTGTGACTGTCCTCGGTGTGACTGTCCTCGGTGTGACTGTCCACGGTGTGACTGTCCTCGGTGTGACTGTCCACGGTGTGACTGTCCTCGGTGTGACTGTCCACGGTGTGACTGTCCTCGGTGTGACTGTCCACGGTGTGACTGTCCTCGGTGTGGCTGTCCTCGGTGTGACTGTCCTCGGTGTGGCTGTCCTCGGTGTGGCTGTCCTCGGTGTGACTGTCCTCGGTGTGACTGTCCACGGTGTGGCTGTCCTCGGTGTGGCTGTCCACGGTGTGACTGTCCACGGTGTGACTGTCCTCGGTGTGACTGTCCACGGTGTGGCTGTCCTCGGTGTGACTGTCCACGGTGTGACTGTCCACGGTGTGACTGTCCTCGGTGTGACTGTCCTCGGTGTGACTGTCCTCGGTGTGACTGTCCTCGGTGTGACTGTCCTCGGTGTGACTGTCCACGGTGTGACTGTCCTCGGTGTGACTGTCCACGGTGTGACTGTCCTCGGTGTGACTGTCCTCGGTGTGACTGTCCTCGGTGTGACTGTCCTCGGTGTGACTGTCCACGGTGTGACTGTCCACGGTGTGACTGTCCTCGGTGTGACTGTCCACGGTGTGACTGTCCTCGGTGTGACTGTCCTCGGTGTGACTGTCCTCGGTGTGGCTGTCCTCGGTGTGGCTGTCCTCGGTGTGGCTGTCCTCGGTGTGACTGTCCTCGGTGTGACTGTCCACGGTGTGGCTGTCCACGGTGTGGCTGTCCACGGTGTGGCTGTCGACGGTGTGACTGTCGACGGTGTGACTGTCGACGGTGTGACTGTCGACGGTGTGACTGTCGACGGTGTGACTGTCCACGGTGTGACTGTCCTCGGTGTGACTGTCCACGGTGTGACTGTCCACGGTGTGACTGTCCACGGTGTGACTGTCCTCGGTGTGGCTGTCCTCGGTGTGGCTGTCCTCGGTGTGACTGTCCTCGGTGTGACTGTCCACGGTGTGACTGTCCACGGTGTGGCTGTCCACCGTGTTTTACTGTGCAGTGAACGTGCACCGAGCAAGTTCATTTCTAAAGGGTACACAAGGTATCCCCGCCATTATGCATGACTGTGAACTGTGTGTTGGTAGGGAGGCGCACACACTCCCCCGGGCGGTGGGAGGAGTGAGTGTGTTCACTCGCTCCTCACAGATGCCCTTGTCACCTCACCGTAAATAGATTGAATGGTATGGTGCCCACCAGCGGCCGAGTGCCAGGTGAAGCAGTAAGGGAGGTCAGTCTGGTAGTCCAGCTTCATGGACAACCGGGCACCATGCAGGACCGGGACAGGTTCACTCCTTCTGTAATGGCACAAGTCTACAGTGCTCCCTGTATTTCTTCTCGCGGTATCCGGGTTCATTAAGGTTCGTTAGTGTTAGGATTCATTAAGGTTCGTTAGCGTCCGGGTTCATAACGATACCTTAGCGATCTGATAAACATAGAGGCTTGCCGCCGGGTTAATAGAGAAGTATGCAGGCGTATATTGGCTGGGATGAGTATTGTTATCGCGGGTGTGGAGGGCTGCTACAAAGGTCTCCGTCAGCTATAAACTTGTGGCCAGTTAATATGGGTTCCAGAAGGTTGTTATTGCCTTGGTGGACTATAAAGTTATATGGAGGTCATAATGGTGTAGGTACGACCTACCTGAAGGTGTGGGGTGTGTGTCATGAAGGTGTGGGGTGTGTGTCATGAAGGTGTGGGGTGTGTGTCATGAAGGTGTGGGGTGTGTGTCATGAAGGTGTGGGGGGTGTGTGTCATGAAGGTGTGGGGGGTGTGTGTCATGAAGGTGTGGGGGGGGGGTGTGTCATGAAGGTGTAGGGGGGTGTCATGAAGGTGTGGGGTGTGTGTCATGAAGGTGTGGGGTGTGTGTCTTGAAGGTGTGGGGTGTGTTTTGAAGGTGTGGGGTGTGTCTTGAAGGTGTGGGGTGTGTGTCATGAAGGTGTGGGGTGTGTGTCATGAAGGTGTGGGGTGTGTGTCATGAAGGTGTGGGGTGTGTGTCATGAAGGTGTGGGGGTGTGTCATGAAGGTGTGGGGGTGTGTCGTGAAGGTGTGGGGTGTGTGTCATGAAGGTGTGGGGGTGTGTGTCATGAAGGTGTGGGGAGTGTGACATGAAGGTGTGGGGTGTGTGACATGAAGGTGTGGGGGTGTGTGACATGAAGGTGTGGGGGTGTGTGTCATGAAGGTGTGGGGTGTGTGTCATGAAGGTGTGGGGTGTGTCATGAAGGTGTGGGGGTGTGTGTCATGAAGGTGTGGGGGTGTGTGTCATGAAGGTGTGTGGGTGTGTGTCATGAAGGTGTGGGGGGAGGGTGTGTCATGAAGGGTGTGTCATGAAGGTGTGGGGGGAGGGTGTGTCATGAAGGTGTGGGGGTGTGTGTCATAAAGGTGTGGGGGGGGGGTGTCATGAAGGTGTGGGGGGGGGGTGTGTCATGAAGGTGTAGGGGGGTGTCATGAAGGTGTGGGGTGTGTGTCATGAAGGTGTGGGGTGTGTGTCATGAAGGTGTGGGGTGTGTGTCATGAAAGTGTGGGGGTGTGTGTCATGAAGGTGTGGGGTGTGTCATGAAGGTGTGGGGTGTGTGTCATGAAGGTGTGGGGTGTGTGTCATGAAGGTGTGGGTGTGTGTGTCATGAAGGTGTGGGGGGTGTGTGTCATGAAGGTGTGGGGGGTGTGTGTCATGAAGGTGTGGGGGGTGTGTGTCATGAAGGTGTGGGGGGGTGTGTCATGAAGGTGTAGGGGGGTGTCATGAAGGTGTGGGGTGTGTGTCATGAAGGTGTGGGGGGGGTGTGTCATGAAAGTGTGGGGGTGTGTGTCATGAAGGTGTGGGGTGTGTGTCATGAAGGTGTGGGGTGTGTGTCATGAAGGTGTGGGGTGTGTGTCATGAAGGTGTGGGGTGTGTGTCATGAAGGTGTGGGTGTGTGTGTCATGAAGGTGTGGGGAGTGTGTGACATGAAGGTGTGAGGGGTGTGTGACATGAAGGTGTGTGGGTGTATGTGTCATGAAGGTGTGTGGGTGTATGTGTCATGAAGGTGTGGGGGGTGTGTGTCATGAAGGTGTGGGGGGTGTGTGTCATGAAGGTGTGGGGGTGTGTGTCATGAAGGTGTGGGGGGTGTGTGACATGGTGTGTGGGTGTATGTGTCATGAAGGTGTGTGGGTGTATGTGTCATGAAGGTGTGGGGGTGTGTGTCATGAAGGTGTGGGGGGTGTGTGTCATGAAGGTGTGGGGGGTGTGTGTCATGAAGGTGTAGGGGGGTGTCATGAAGGTGTGGGGTGTGTGTCATGAAGGTGTGGGGGGGTGTGTCATGAAAGTGTGGGGGTGTGTGTCATGAAGGTGTGGGGTGTGTGTCATGAAGGTGTGGGGTGTGTGTCATGAAGGTGTGGGTGTGTGTGTCATGAAGGTGTGGGGAGTGTGTGACATGAAGGTGTGAGGGGTGTGTGACATGAAGGTGTGTGGGTGTATGTGTCATGAAGGTGTGTGGGTGTATGTGTCATGAAGGTGTGGGGGGTGTGTGTCATGAAGGTGTGGGGGGTGTGTGTCATGAAGGTGTGGGGGTGTGTGTCATGAAGGTGTGGGGTGTTTGTGACATGGTGTGTGGGTGTATGTGTCATGAAGGTGTGTGGGTGTATGTGTCATGAAGGTGTGGGGGTGTGTGTCATGAAGGGGTGGGGGGTGTGTGTCATGAAGGTGTGGGGGGTGTGTGTCATGAAGGTGTGGGGGTGTGTGTCATGAAGGTGTGGGGGGTGTGTGTCATGAAGGTGTGTGGGTGTATGTGTCATGAAGGTGTGTGGGTGTATGTGTCATGAAGGTGTGTGGGTGTATGTGTCATGAAGGTGTGTGGGTGTATGTGTCATGAAGGTGTGTGGGTGTATGTGTCATGAAGGTGTGTGGGTGTATGTGTCATGAAGGTGTGTGGGTGTATGTGTCATGAAGGTGTGGGGGGTGTGTGTCATGAAGGTGTCGGGGGTGTGTGACATGAAGGTGTGGGGGGTGTGTGTCATGAAGGTGTGGGGGGTGTGTGTCATGAAGGTGTGGGGGGTGTGTGTCATGAAGGTGTGGGGTGTGTGTCATGAAGGTGTGGGGGTGTGTGTCATGAAGGTGTGGGGGGGTGTGTGACATGAAGGTGTGTGGGTGTATGTGTCATGAAGGTGTGTGGGTGTATGTGTCATGAAGGTGTGGGGGTGTGTTACGAACCCGGATCCAGTGTCCGAGCACGGAGTAGTAAACGACCGCGCCATCTGTGGGTCGGCTCCCGAAACCCCCCGCCAAACGCCGACGACACCTGGTGAGGATGCCGTGTATCAGCTACGAGGGCCAGTTTCCAGTCCCGTTCAGCACTCTACACCGCCGCCACTGACCTCTGGTGAGGTGGTGCTCTGACGACAGCGCCATCTATGGACTGGATACGTCAGGTGTTTGTGCCCGAGCCCGTAAGTGAGGTGTATTAGTGTCCCGTTTATTGATGACGTGTCTGCTTACAGAGCCGACCTGGGACCACTGTGATGGAAGTGGAGTCAGTCTACCCGAGGCAGCCAGTCTCCATACCTTGAACGTTGCTGCAGCTGTTGTGAAGTCGTCCCCCCGGAAGAACACTGTGATGTGTTAGCCTGCCAGTGGAGTGGCAGTAAGAGGATTTACCCGGGACCGACTGTTGGAGACGATCATCCACTGGGGTACTGAAGACAGGAGGGTGATTTGTGATGTCACACGAGACTCCTGTCTAGGGCGTACCCCTTATATCGTTCGTGGAGTGGCCGTACCAGCCTTGGTGGCTCAGTACCTGCCAGCAGACCAGCTGGACGTGTGGTTGACGGACTCCACGACGGTGCCCCCAGTGGACCTGCGTTTTGGCTGACCTGTGGCCCGGGTAGGCTCGGCATTCTCAGAGGACACGTCGTGAGGCCACGAAGAAAGCACAAAGGACTCGGCACCAAGTGGTGTGGCACCAGCGTCTTCAGCAGAAGACCACGATTATGGATTAATCCCCTTGTATAGTGTTAATACCAGCCCCCCCTTTGTGTAACCGTTTTATATATTATTTATCGGTGACGGACATTATATAATATTAAGTTCTTAGCTTTCTTTCCCTACTCCCTTTAAGTTACTTGCGTCACGGATCTCATCCCTTGATAGCCAATACTGGCTTGGGAACGGATACATATATCTTCCTCTAACAACATTAGAGTAAGGACCCCGTTGCGTCCCGAGAGGGCCGTAACAGGGTGTGTGTCATGAAGGTGTGGGGCGAGCAATGAAGGTGTGTGAGAGATGACATTCGTGTTGCTTCCTGGGAGTGTGGGGTGTGTCATGAAAGGCCTGCCAGTACTGTCATAACCAAACAATATCTGACAGGAGTCTTAACCGAACAATTGAGGTCCGGCATTAGACACAACCGAACAATAACGGACGGACAGGAGAGTTGAACACGGGTGTGTGTCACGATATATCAACATATGTGAACAGACGGCGTCGTCAAGCTGGGGGTGACGCTGGCTGCCTCCTTCACTACGCGACCACTGGAAAAATATCATTATCATAAGTAAAATCGATAGTTGGGAGTGTGAGGTGCAGTCACGAGGGCCTATACGGACACCTTACACTTCAACCTTCGAGTCGTAGCAACTTGCTTCTTACAGCCGGGTGTGTTACTGCTGTGGGTGTTACAGCCAAGTGTGTTACTGTTGTGGGTGTTACAGCCAGGTGTGTTACTGTTGTGGGTGTTACAGCCAGGTGTGTTACTGTTGTGGGTGTTACAGCCAGGTGTGTTACTGTTGGGTGTTACAGCCAGGTGTGTTACTGCTGTGGGTGTTACAGCCAGGTGTGTTACTGTTGTGGGTGTTACAGCCAGGTGTGTTACTGTTGTGGGTGTTACAGCCAGGTGTGTTACTGTTGTGGGGTGTTACAGCCAGGTGTGTTACTGCTGTGGGGTGTTACAGCCAGGTGTGTTACTGCTGTGGGTGTTACAGCCAAGTGTGTTACTGTTGTGGGT